GATTTTTTTTTTTTTTAATTTTGTTTTAGCCTGTTGCTGATCATGCATCATAACTTTGTTCCAAGAGGAAGGGAAGATTCCAACCTTTTTGCTTTTCAGATACTTTTGCAGTGACTTTCAGACTAGGAGCCCTCAGGACTGGTGCTTACTGAATCTCACAAAGTCTCACTTTGAAGTTTAGACTAGAGGAGTTAAGTGTAAGCCTAAGTGAAATGCTCTTTTTTTCCCCTTGAATATGAAAGGTTATACTATATCTAGGAATACAGCTACTTTATTGGAGAATTGAAGCAAACACTGCTGTAATTAGTTCTTCCAAAGAAGCAGCAGACAGCTAGGTCACTTGTGACTTCTGACATCTCAAAAAAATCTAGCAGAGAATTAACCCTCTGAGCCTAAGGTTAAGTATGTAACCTGCAAAGTGGGCATTCCTAGAAGGAAGAAAGAGAAGCTTGACCTTGCTTTTAGAGACCTGGGACACTGGAAGGAAATTATGATCAAAATTATGTACAAGGCTCTAAGTAGAAGAGACCAAAAGAGCAGTTATCACTTAAAAGGTCTTTGATATTTACAACAAGGAACAAGAATTGACAGATGAATGAGGAAATGGGGGAAAAACAAGATATTCAGAGAAAATAACTACTAGTTCTCTGAGGATTTTAACCTGGCCAACATACTAACGAAGATCTCTATTTTTGGTTTAAATGCAAAACAGTGCAGAACACCAAACGCTATTGAATGAGATTTTCAGGTGTACCTTCGAGAGTTAATGATTTCCATACAGGGGGAAATGTCATTCCTTATTCTACAATGAAACTTGACCTGTAAATAATTTGTCTAGAAAGAGCTGTCTCTCAATAAATCTGTACTCCGGGAGGAGTTTGGGGTAAGTTGGTTATCTATATTTGATGTTGGATTAGTTGTACATAAAAGAGGCAGAAATGCATTAAGGATAAATGATGCTGTGATACCTGAACCTCTAAATGGCAGAAAGCAAAGCAGAAATTTAAGATCTGCTAGGACTGAGGAGAAAGGGGGGTCGAATATAAAGGACAGAGGCATTTGATGGTGAAACGGTATCCAGGAAGTGAGATAGGAAATGGAGATTGTTTCCTTGCCCAGAAATATGAGAACTAGACCATTTTCTGGCAGCAAAAAGAGCCAGAGTATAGAGCAGAAACTGGATGGGCTTCAAGAGCTTGAATGAATAGCGGAAGGGATAATAGGAGAAGATTGCAGGGTATGCAGCCTGTACAGAAAGCGTTCTGAGGAACAGGGGACAGGGAGAGGCTCTGAGAAGGGAGTGAAAGATGCAGGCAGGCATTTATGGTATTTCTGATACTGTATGGAGGTAGGGAATAACAAGCAGTACAGAAGGAATGATTTCGTATAGGGTGACAGTAGACATGAAGATCCTGGATGTCAAAAGAAAGAACGAAGAAAACAAAAATAGTGCAAAAAGGTGGAAAAGATGGAGACTGGAGGGAGGGAGGGAGAGAGCATGGGGGCCGGGAAATGTGGAAGATATTTAAAAATAAGGGAAGGAGTGGGAAAGGCAGATAAGGACAGTAGGGAGAGGGGGAAGGAGAAATTTTACAATGACTTGTAAGTATGAATCCACTGAAGAAAGCAATTTGTCTCAAAAAATTATATCGAATACAGTATCAACATACAATACAAGATACAATTCATTACACCTTTTATCAGATAGTCCCTCAGCTCTTTCCAGGGCTGGAATAAATAGGATTTGAATTCTCTGCATAATCTGTCTTAGAGAGGCAGTCAGTAAATTAACCTTTTAAACAATATTCCCAATCTATTAAGTCAAATCCCAGTTTGCGGAGTTTGTGTGATATGGTATTTCGTTACTTGTAATATCTGTGCAGATAGACTCCACTGCAGTAAAATGCACTGCTTCTCTTTGTGGCCTGTGGTAAACTTTAAAGTTATGCTACAATTTATTACTATATTTTAAAATTATGTAATAAAGGAAAAAGAAATCAAACACGATCTCTCAGCTGATGGACCCCACAGGCGAGGAAATGAGTCACATGGCTCCTATGTCTCCAGAGTTATGAATTATTTCAGCCAGCTGGAGAAGAAGAAAAGAGTAGGGAAAGAGCACTAAAACTAAAAAGTGAAGAGCAGGCGTCTTTGTTGGGCATAACCCAGAGTATATGGGCTTAATGCGTAGATGATTGTGTTAGGTTCTCTGGCCTGTCATGCCTGTGGCCAGACTAGACAGTCCTACTCAATTGCTCTACTACCTTACATACTCTACCAACATATTCAGTAGAAGATAATATGGAAGGTAAGAGGAAGGTAACAATGAGAAATGGGATACAAGAAAGGCAGTAACAAGGATGAAAAATTTATATTAGTACTTAACTGTTAAAAAGGTGCTTTTCATTAACAGATTCGAAGTAACTTTTCCAATAAGCTATTGAAAACTTTTATTATTGCCATTAAAAATGGGAAAACTATGCTGAATATTTCATTCTTTTATAAATTACTAGGTAATACTGTATCAGGTGATACCAGGGACATTCTTCAGCATGGGGATGTGTAGTGATGCTGCCATCTCACAACTGCTTTGCAAGTCCTAATATACGTAAGGCTTGGGCCAGTGCTCGCTACATTCAGGGGGAAGAGTCACCCTGACTTTTCCCGTGTTACAGAATCATTTCCTGGTTGCAGGAGTGTTTTCTATCTATCTCAACTAAAATAAAAGGAATACCGTGGTTTCTATCTCAGTCTTATTCAAATCCAAACTTACTGGTGACATAGTAATTTTGTTGAATCACAGACAAACAAAATAGCTTTACCAAGTTACAGAAGCACAAGATGTAACGTGACTACCATGGAGGTAGATTTTGATAGCTCAATTCTTTCCAGTCTTTTATGATGACATCTCCAGCCATAGGTTTGTTTGGCTTGTTTATGTATCGATTACATCTATTGGGGATTAAAGCATTAATAACATATTTTCTTTAACTGATTATATTTGTTCTTGGCATCTGTTTGAATACTGGCTGGAACTGTTTCCTGGTTAGCTTTAGAGCACAAATTGCTTAGGGAGATGGAGAGTAGATGTCATCTCTCATGACTTTTTTGTCCTCAGAATGCCTCACAAAGCAAGAATTTCCAAACTGTCAGTCATAAATTTGTCTCTTCCTTTACCAGCAATGTTAACACATTTTGAAATAATAGAGGTTCAAAAGTTCACTAGGAAAACATTGTTTTTCATTGCTCATTGAAAAAGCTTTTATTTGTACGTAACTGTAATTCAACATCGTGTTAACGTCATCAGGGTACATAACACAGTAAATGCTTACCTGTTTTAACTAAAACTCCAGCTAATTCTAATCTAATTAGTAAAATGTGTTGATGGTTTCTACAGCATTCTGCATCGTGTTCTTGCTGGTTTGCTCAGGCTTCTCTAAGTCATTGTTGTTTGGATCGGGACGCTGGTATTTTTCCTTGAAATACAGCTGTCCGGAGTGACTGTATTAGCTGACTGTGACAGCTAAGATTCTCAGTTTCTTGACAGTGTAATTCCCAAAAATGCATCTGGAAATTTTCATGGTCCTGTAATCAAATAAAAAAGATTCTAAGTAGGCTATTTTTAAAAAGGTTTGGAACATACTACCAGAGTTTAGGCTTCTGATTGTGAAGCTGAGAGGGAGAATAATAACCTGCTGGAGTAAGGGAAAGATCTGGCATGTACGTTCGTAAAGATCATATTAGATTTCTCTAATATGAAAATGAAAATTCTGAGCAGGTTCCCTTCCCTCATGGACACTGCCCCTTCCTGGTGCCTTCTGCTAAGCCTCAATTTTGCTCTCTGATTGGAAATAATCCTTCCCTTGAACGTTGGTGTTATCCCCAAGCCTGGATTCTTTCTCTGTCTGCTCTGCTGTTCCACTCTGCTTCTTTTCCTGTCACAAAGAGGCCAGCAGTTGCGACATTTAGGGAAACATAGCTCTTATATAGAATATATTGCTCCATTCCTTTACCCCCATTCCTGCTTCTCACTACAGTGTGGCAGTGCATGGTGCCAGGCTCCCTAATCGATGTAAGACATCCAGCCTAAACCTCTCCCTGCAGCAGCAGGGAATGGAAGCATCTCCTGAGTCAGCAGTATTGGCCTTGCTGTCCTTGGGGTGGTCTGGCTGTGGCTGGGACAGCCTTATTGTGGCCATGCCTGAAATGCACAGCTAGAGCTCCAGAAGTGCTGTGGGCTCCCAGGAGTGTGCTCACCCTGAACATGGAGGTTGTGAGAGGGTGGTAGGGGTCTGCTTTTTCCTAATAATCCTAAAAATGGGATGGGGGGGAAGGGAGAAAGAACACAGTACTTAGCTAGAAAGAAAGAGGTTGGTTTTTTTCCCTCCCTTCATCTCATCATTTTCTTTCTCTCAGTGCAATGCTCTGTAGCCCTCCTGCTGCTAAAGTCTTCCTGAGACCCCTCTCCGTCTTCCCACTGTTTGCCTCCAGGGCTGTGGCTTCCCTGCTCAGCACCAGCAGCCCGCAGTGGGGAAGAATCCTTTGGGGAAAGCAGCGAGGCCCCCAGGGCGTTTGCCGGCAGCGATCATCCCCGCAGGCTCTGCCAGCCTCCAGCTGGCAGCTGTGTGCTCTCAGGAGCCTTTGGTGAGGCCACCAAAATACAGATGCTGCAGAGCTGTCGGGCTGGAATATTCCCACAGGAATTGACCATGCTGCTGCTCTTTTGCCCAACTAGGCAACCCTGCCCACTATGTCTAAATTAGGGATCTTCGCCCACTATTGGGATCTTTGCATTTTCCCCAATATAGAAATCTAGATTATAACCAGTAGCTGAAAAATCACCAATCTGTTGGTTGTGACTGCAGTGTTCAAACCAACTCTTCTATCAATCCGCTAGGAAAAGACAGTAATCTACAGGAAAAGTTCTCAATGTTTTTAAGCTTTCTCTGTTCCCCAGCCTCTGCTAAAATACCCTGTTTCTCCTTCTCCCTGGTGTTCAGGGCTATGGGCAGGAGTGAACGATATCTGAAGTTTCCTCCCTGGACCTGAAAAAGGAGTGGAGAACCTATGTAAGTGCAGGAGGAGCAGAGATGGACAGTGGACGAGATAGGATGATGAAGCTGATGATAATTATATTACAGGCTACAGGTACTAAAGCTGGGAGAAACCGGTATGAACTGTAGAAGGACTGGTATGTATGGTTGGAGCTATCACCATGAGAGACAGTCTGAGTCCAAGATAAAGTCTATCGGTGTGAATTGTGAGGCACTGTAATTAATGTCAGGCTGAAAGGGCCAGAATAATTTGTGGGACTGGGAAGATACAGGGTTGAGAAGTGTACAATTAATTGATGTTGAGATGGTAGGCATGCGGGAACCTCTGATTTAGCCATTCGGAATTTAGAGAAAAAATGAGTCTTTTGTGCGACCAGACAGAAGTCTGTGCAAACACATGTAATTTATGTGAGTTGTAGGATATTTGTCATTGTTGCAAAATGTTGCCTGTTTTGAAACGCTAATGGCATCTTGCATCACTGGGCCAAATTCTGCTTCAGTTACACTAGTGTACTGACAAATTCACCAGGGCTGCTCAGACAAGAGAGTAAAATGTAAGCAACTGACATGTTAATTTTTGAAGTCATGTTGAATAGCAGTCATTGACAGCATGTTAAGAACATCTACACTGCAGTTCTTAAATTAGTGTTTTTTTCTAAGCTACAGAAAACTTGTGAAAAATCCTAATGTTTGACTCTCAAATTGCATACATTCATTTCTTACTGATGTAGAACTAAAGATGCCCGTAAAGTTACTGCAGAGTTATATTGATAAAGTGGAACTATTCTCTGCGGAACCATATTATGCAAAATCAAATGTAAAGGAAATTTAGACTCTTTTTAATAACCTGCAGGTAAATCAGAAGGATATTTGTATCCCTGCTACAGGAATATAAATGGAAAGAGGACCTATTTACATTTGAAAGGAGATGCATCCATACTTTCCCATGTCAACACTAGCGCTGCCCACTATCTCTAGGACCTTGTGCAGCAGCACATCTAGCAAACCTGTGGTGGGTTGACCTTGGCTGGACCCAGGTGTCCACCAAGCTGCTTTATCGCTCCCCTCCTCAGCAGGACAGGGGAGGGAGACAATAAGATGGAAAAAACTCATGGGTCAAGATAAAGGCAGTTTAATAAAGTAAAAGCAAAGGCCACGCACAGAAGCAAAGGAAAACAAAAGATTTATTCGCTACTTCCCATCAGCAGGTAATGTCCAGCCACTTCTTGGGAAGCAGGGCTTCAGTACATGTAGCAGTTGCTCTAGAAGACAAACATCGTAATAGCAGAAGTCATATGGTATGGAATATCCCTTTGGTCAGTTTGGGTCAGCTGTCCTGGCCATGTCCCCTCCCAAAATCTTGGCCACCCCCAGCCTACTGGTGAGGGGGGGAAATGTTGGAGAGACAGCCTTGACGCTGTGCAAGCACTGCTCAGCAGTAGCCAAAACACTGCTGTGTTATCAACACCTTTCTATCTACCGATACAAAGCACAGCACTATGAGGGCTGTTATGGGGAAAATTAACTCCATCTCAGCCAGACCCAATACAAAACTCCGTTGCAGATACAGGAAGCGCAGTGGTGCTGGATGGGGCAATGGCAGCAGTGCTCCAAGACCTGCTTGCTGCTACTCTCAAACCTATCGGGGAGGATCTGTCTAGGACCTGTCTTCTAGGGCAGCATATGGTTTGCTAAACGTTTTTGCAACTGTAGGATGGCACACATCCAGGCGGCTTTCATTCCCTGCCAGAATTTTAAAGAAATGTTAACAATGTTTACACTTTTCAGTTTTGAGTCTCTAAAAATTACCTATTTAAACCTTCTCTCCCTCTCTGACAACACAAGATCCAGCTCCTCCTTCGGATGCGAAGTGCCACAGCACTTACTCAGTTCTCACTGCAGGACTCAGAGAAGACAAATCCTGCTGGCAGTGCCGCTCCCCCTCTGCCTCACCAGCGGAGCCTTGGTCAGGGCTGCGGCTCCTTGGGCTCGGGGCGCGCGAGTGCCTGTGCCCATGCCACCCACAACTGAGAAATGGGAACATTTCTGCACTCAACAAATTCAGCGCCTCAAATCTGTTTGGGGGAGTGGCAGCTTGCACAACAGAGGGATTGGGATTTTAACAGCTGGGGAGCTTTTGTGTTGTACAGCCTTTCATTTTTTAAAAAAGGGGTGATTTTTTTTAGAAGGAGATCCATCAATAATATAGGTGAGCAAGAGAAGCATGCTTGCTTGACCAGGGTGTGAGTCTTGATAGTCTACTCTCTTTAAAGATAAGGAACTGCCCCTCATTACTAGACCAGCACTTCCCTCTCATCCCCTTCCAAATAAACACATCTCTACTGTCAGAATGATGACGTCTGATTCGTACGATGTGGGGCGGCGGACTAATGAAAGCCATGGAGAGTACCTCCCTTGCTACGTTTAGAAGAGGAAGATAATGAGACTTCTGGGAGATGCTGCTAGCGGAATACTACAGCACGCCAGGTGATGTTTAAATGAAATGTAAAGACCAATATTTTTTGCAAGGTTAAGGACAGAGACCATAGCCAGAATGTTTTGTTTCCAAATGGACATCTGGCAAATATTGATCTACAATCGTATTTAGTGTGGAATGGAAAGTACCGGTTGTGACATGAGCAGTCAATATTTTTTTAGACTATTGATCCTTACAGTGGCTATTGATGGGTTTTTAGGCGATAGCACAATCTATTTTTTCATTTAGCTTAGCTTAAAATAATTGGATTGCAAGTTGTGTGCCTGTATATGTGGAAAAGGACTCAATATGCAAATATTGTTTCTCATCATTGGCAATGTATACAAAATAAATATTCATTTTTAAGTGGGTTTTTTTCCCCCTGTTATTTAGTATGACTACTCAGATATTATAACTTGGATATGATAAAAAGTGAAGTTGGCTTCAGGGGAGTCCAGATGCCACCATCTCCCCTCTGCTGCCTGACTTGAACTTTTTTCTCAAAAAAACCCTGCTTCTATGAATAAACTGTTAGAATGAACACATAAGGGATCTAGCTGATTTCTGCAGACAAATCATCTTTTCACTCTCTCTCATCCCATTTGATTTAATTGTTTGCTTTCGTCTGCAGAGAAAACATGTTGTTGCCTACCACTTGGGGATTTTATATAAGGTTCAGTAAGTACTCTTGAGTGTACTGGATTTTATGAATTGTAAAATAAACCGATGATATTTTTTGTTCAATTAAAAGAAGCTGTACATGGGGAAGGACTGGCATACAAGAAATGGCAGTAAATTGCAAGCCACGTCATGCCTTGAGGTGTTAGTTCTTGTGATTGCTATTTATATTTCAGTGCAGACTGGAGTCTTTCTTTTGACCAAGGCATAATATTCCCACTATAGGCAATAGCCAGCTAATGCTCCAGCCATTCTGTAAATAAGTTAATCCAGTGTTTGCATTTGGTCCCTCCTGTGAGAGCTAGACACAGAACTGAGGTGTTTATTGTACAGACTCAATGCTCATCTATGCTGACTTTTGGAGTAAATAAAGTGTCAAATGTATGCATTGAGCAATGCTATTTATGTTATCTAGACAAGCTGAGAATGCATCATTATGCTGTACTGCGCTTCCCAGATCCAAGAAAGCGAACCACAAATCTTTCAGCTATTATCTAGCAAGTAGTTGTATACCACTTTTACATCAACAGCAGTAGAGAATGGAACTTTTTTTTTCAGGTGTCATATATATCCTGATGCACTGTCTGTCCTGAAGGTCATGATTCAAATCATTCTGGGAACCGCTTTTTATCTAGGCTGAAAACATTAATCACTTACAGTTTTACAGCAAACAAAAGAAGTCTAACAGAAGCATAACAAAATGAAAGCTACCTTTATAATTTAAATAAAAAATATCTTATAAAATGATGCAATGTGACCACTGCAGAACCAAAAAACAGGCTGTTGAGTATTCTGAGATTTCACCCTTGACATCGGTTTAAGATGAATTTCTGTAACACATCCGTGAGGGCTAGTCCCCGATACTGTCTTTTTTTTGAGACCGAGCTGCATACCTCTTTAGTAATTAAGAATTAGGGATGAAGAATTCAGTACATTGCATATTTTGGTGGGATTACATGGGATATTTGTTTATAATTAAAGATTTCTCTTTTGGTTTGGGAGTGAAAAAACTGCAAAAGCCTTCAATTTCTTATCTTAGTGTTACACAAAGGTGAATTTGACCTACAATGTGAAATCTGAAACTGAATCACAACTACGTAAAAGGACCTAGAGTTACTTTGGTCAAGACCTAGAATCAGACCTTTCTTGAACGCAGCTTGATTCCAGATGAAGGGCTGCAAACCATCCCTCCCTCCCAATGATGATTTGGGTTAAGAGAAGGTGTGTGGTTAGATTGGATCTGGGCCTATCTTTAACAACTGGTATCAAAAGCAAAGATTTTTTGGCAAGCTGTTGAACTTTCTTGACTGTTTATTGACATCAAACAAGCAAACAAAACAGGAAAAAAGCAGCTTTGTCATACAGACAGCATTTTAGTCTTTAGGACACTGAAAAGTACTTTAACTTGATGTCTGTAGCTGCTTCATTAGTTTTGCCTTAATTGTAAGATAAGGGCTTATGCAAGTGGCTGTAGAACCTAAAAGGCTGTTAATTGTCTGAAATAACAACTGAAGCAGCTTTCTTCTGCAGTATGGTCTATTTTAGCATTATAAATTCACTTTGGATGGGAGTTTCTCTATTATAGAAGAGGGTTTTTTTCCATCTCTGCATTTCTATGAAGAAAGAAATCAGCATTTTAAGCATTTAAATGTCTTCTGGGCAGTAGCTATTTATCACAGAAGACAGTATTTCAGGACATCTTTTTTTTTTTTTTGAGAAACTCTGCAAAAATACAGTATAATGTCAGTTATTGCTGGATGTGCATGCAGAGCAATATTGTTCTGTTGCCTGGTAACCAGTGAGAGGGAGGCACTTTGGAAACACTGATAGAAAAAGAGAAAGAGAAAGCTTAACTGCACACACTTGAGCCGAAGACTTACAAAACTGGTATTTGTTCCAGGTAGGTTTGAAGAGGAGTTTGGGTCAAGGTTCTCATAGGGTTTTGTGAGGTTTTTTCCCATTAAAAACCCCAGCAGGTTATTTTCTTGTGTTGAATTTAATCACTAGGCTTATTTTTTCAAGCCATGTTTAAAATTTGCGTACTTTGGAAAGAGGAGTGTTCCTTTTCCTTAATATACATTCTTGAATACTTTCCGAAGGTGTGTTCCCCTTAGAATAGTGCACTGATAGCGTAACAAAATAAATGTGCAGAAGCGTTTTGAACTGATATTCTTAACAACTTGGGATGATCACGAATGTATTTTCAAAGCCAAAATGCTCTGACAGTTCCTGGATTACTAAAGTGCTAGGTATTGCGATAAAAACAATTAACAAACAATAGATTTGCTGAGTCAAACAAACACGAAAGAAAAACAGAAAATATTATAGCTGGAATTCAGTCTGGCCATAGCTTCATGTTTTACAAGCAACAGAAAGTCAGCGTAAAATTAAGGCGGAAGAAATGAGTTCATAGGAACCAGTTCAATCTTTGGCCAAGCTCAGACAAAGTGTTCGTGAGGATTTTAACCGGCTGGGTTAACGTGTTGTTCTCAGATGCCTCCCTGACTTCCTGCTTCTGACCAGTGTCAGAGGCAGATGGTCTTTTTTGCATGGTCTTTCTTAGGGTAGAGCGAGCAGGAAGTGCTGAACGCCTGCAAGGCAGTTTATTGCTGCAAGATTTACAACATCGTTTTGAGAAGTTAAAAGGGCTGTGTAGCCCAAGTGCGATTTGAGATAATCTTGGAATTTCAAGGTGTTATTTGAATGGAACTGAATGCAACTTCTATTTTTTCTGGCAGCTAGTTAAACTCAGAAGCTTTGTAAACCTTGTTGGCTTTACCTGTGGAGTAATGTTTTACTTCATGCCGAACATTGGTACACTATGAAGAAGGAGTGACGCATCTTTAGATGTTGATCACTCCACTGATTATTGTGTACTGGAAAAATTAAGGTCAGAGATCAACTCCTCCGTAATAACCTTTTGTGGCATTCAGCTGGTTCATGTGCAGGATGAAGAACACATGAAGAAGATGATACCCTTCAAATCGGTGCATTAGCTTTTCACTTTTCCTCTTCCAGAACAACTTGAATATCATAAAAAAATATAAGCACACAAGCACTGAAAAATTCTTAATTAGGATCTCACTGATTAGTATTTCCTGTTTACTTATATAGGTAATGTATACATATCAGGACCAAGAAGGAATTTTGCTCTAATAGAAAGCCTTGGAATTTTTGCTAAAATCATTAATCTAAGTTATTTGATGAAAGTCTGAAGGAAGCTGAAAGATGAGCACTGTTGTTCTGACTCCATGATCGTGTCACTTGTTAACAAATTAATTCCTCCTAGTACAGTGGTTCACTGAGCTCTTAAAGCCTTGCACCCGGTATGTCACAGCGGCAACAAGCAGTTTCGGAGAGGTCTGTAAGGGCCAGACATGGCTGGACTTTCCTATCAGGCCTCATAAAAGGTGTATCCTCTTTCCCTTCTGTGCTTGGTACCTCAGAGAAAGAACTGGTAAGTGACCACAAAACCTCATTCTTCATGAATTTCTGTTAATGATGCTACACAGGAAAAATATATCAGTAATGAGGGCAGACAGCCATTCAGTTACTTCCTACTGTAGAGGAAGAATAAAAACTAAATCTGAGCTATGTCTCACATTGAATAATCGACTTGCTGGATTATGGCAAAGAACCAGCATTCAGCTGCCACACTGCAATACTAGCTTATGATTAGACAGGCGACATAGTGCTGAGGTATCTTGATGTTCTTTTTCCATCAAAAATGCTAGCAAGCTTGGGATCTGGTCATTTGCCTTGCTTTAAAAAAAGCTCCCTCACAAAGATGCAGGAACTAGCATTGCTGCAAATGTTTGCCAGGGAGCAAACTAGGGGTGGCAGAGACTTAGCCGTGCTCAGTGGGGCAGGTTTGAGGTCACACTCAGACCCTAGTACGTCCTATCCTTTCAATCTCAACACCCCACAACACTGCAGAAATACACAATGACAATTAGAAGCACCTTGTACTAATTGAAAGTAATCGCGTAGCTTTTTCATGGGGTTGGACTGAAATCTGATACAGTAATTGTTCACCGAGTATAAACTTGAATATTTCAAATAATTTGGAAGGCAATTATTATTGCATAAAGCATTTGTGCGATAATAATAATTGTGTATGATCTCATGAAGGGTTCAATCATTCAAAGTGCTAAATAGTCTGTGTCCATCAAACAAAATATTTAAGGACAGGTTTAGCTTTACACAAATAAGTAGGTCAATTGACCTCACTAAGGCCACTTATCTACTTAAATGTCAACATGTATCTAAGTGCTTTCCTGGATTAGGGCCAGAACATTTTGTCTTTTATAAGACAAGGCCCTAAGAGGAACTGTTGCAAATGGCTGTAGTCTGCAGAGTCCCAGAAAGGTGAAGCAAAATAAAAAAGGACAGTATCAAATTTTAACATAGTTGGTCATTTATTTGAGGAATGTAGTTTACCGTTAATGATTGGCATTACTGCAGAGAAGACTATCACTATATAAAGGCAGCAATACTAGGGAATGGAAAGGAAACATCATTAGGTATTTGAAACATGGAATAGGCCTGGAAAGCAGAGGGACTTTGACTGAGATCATGATTATCTTGTTAGCGACTCAGAGTTACGGGGTTCTTTGGCACTCATTTTGCAGTGGGGGACTATTTTGTGCATTACTGCTTCTGGAATCCCAGCTCCATTGCTGGGGCGAGTCATATAAAAATGAATATAGCTTCAAAATTGGCTTGCCTGAAGGATGCAGCACACCCTTTCCCTCCTGATCCTTAGCTCTCTGAAGGGTCCCAAGTCCATGAATTGCAGTCCACGAAGGTTCAGTGTAACTGATTGCTCTTGGCCACATCAAAAAATGGAAAAATCTAAATACAAACGATCCTCTCTATATATTGATCAAAGTGAATATAACATGAGCCCAAGCACGTCACTATGAATCAAATAGAATTCCCCTCAGGGTAGCTAATGTAGCTGCGGTCTTGCAGGTCATACGCTCAGTTGGTGTAGCCAGCCTAACTTCATGCTCATGTATGTAGATAGAGAGTCTTTAATGTATGTGTTGAATTTCTCAACTGCTGTCTTTTTACAGGAAAAAAAAATCCCGTATGTAATTCTTTTTCGTTGACAACATGATAAAGTATACCCTGAGAGCCCTAGGTTACAGAACAAAATACAGATATTCAGATAATTTCTGTAAGTTTTAATTAAGTCATAGCTCGCAAGATGTAAAATATGCAATGTCAAGCTGCTGCCCAGCACTTTTTGCTTCTCTGGGAATAACTGTCCTCCTGTTTGTATTATACAAACTTTTTGACAGTCTGACAGCCAAGGAACCCATATATCAACTTAT